TTGTGGCTCCGAATATCAAAAACCCACCTTGCCGAGCAGGCAGCGTCTTAAGACAGCTTTCATTCCTGGCATCAGTAAATCAGTCAACGGCCCCGTCTTAGAAAATGCCAATGCTTTATTTTTTAATATTTTAAACTTTTTATTTTGTATTGAAGTATAGCTGATCAACAGTGTTGTGAGTTTCAGATGAATAGCAAAGGGACTCAGCCATACATATACACATGTCCACTCTCCCCCAAACTCCCCTCCCATCCAGGCTGCCACATTACGCTCAGCAGAGTTCCATGTGCTACACGGTAGGCCCCTGTTGGTTAGTCACTTTAAATATAGCACCCCTGCTTTCCTATTAAAAAATATTAAGACAAGAAAGAAGCAACCTCTGCCAGACCAGATGGAGAGAGATGAGAGTTGGGAGCAGAGGACACGGGGCTCTAAGCGGAGCCCCGAGATGGACCAGCTTCAGACTCAAGAAGAGACTCTGGGCAGGATACCTCAGGCATTGCTGCACCAGCCGTGGTCTGCTGCCGTCAGGTCAAGGCCAATGTCTTCCTGTACCCGGTGCCTCCCAAGGCTTCTCTTCACTCCCATCTTGCCCGTGACATCGTAGGGGCCTTGGCCAGACCGTGTCATGTCAACCCCTGGCCCCAAACAGCTTTGGAGGCCCTGGAAATGGACCACACTGTCCTGTTCTCCCCGAAGTATCTTTGACACAGTGGGCACCGACTCCAAGTGCTCTGTGCTTCCCCCATTATTTCCTTGTAAGAGAGACTGAGGATGAGGGAGACAGAAAGAAGAGGAGTAGGAGAAGGGAGAGGAAGAGAAGGAGGAGGAAACACATCCCTGAAACCTGCACCCCCAATTCTAAAATTTTCTAATTCTAAAGGAAGCAGAAAACTAGGATGAGATACAGTCAAGACCCTCGACAGCCCAAATTGCAAAAATGTCATGCAGGGGTCCCAGACCCTCTCAGCTGCCACAAATCACTGCACTGAGCACATCAAAACCTCACGAATGGGGACTGAAAGGTAAAAGCCTTTTCTGAATCCATGAAAAGATCAACATCTGAATATATATTAAAGATAAAGTCCAAATAATTCATAAGAGGAAGAAAAACACCAGCCTAACTTTGGAGTGGGTGGGGGGCCACCGCTCCCCAACTGGTGGAGGCGGGGAAGGCAGACCCCTGGGGAGGCATGTGCTGAATGCACTCTGCTCTGATTGCATCGGAACAGGCATGGTTTTAAATGGCAGGCCATTTTATTGGAAGAAGCACATAAATCTCTCGACCCAGAAAAATATGTGCTCACAGCACAAAATGAGGAGAGCAGCCCGTGTCTAACACCAGAACTTTCCACCAGAACTTTCAGATGAGACATGAAAAAGTTCATCCTTCCCCACATATTATATCTTCCCATATGCAGAGGTTTGGGACACGGGCTGACGTCATTTCAGAGGGCTGTGGTTCTGAAACACCAGCAAAATGCCCAGAATCAGCCATGGGCATAGACAGCAGCATCGTTCACCGTGGGACACAGCGCTGGGTCGTTGCAAGTTGTCTCGCGGGGCCAGCACAGGGCCACCTGGTCCAGTCGGTCAGCTTCACTCCAGCCAGAGCCAGACAGCAGGGCAGTGAACACCAGGGCTCAGCCCTTGTCTGCCCAGACGAACGTGGGTGTGTCTCTGTCCCCGCTGGCTACTTCCCAGCGCTCTTGGAAGGGCAGAGTCACCCTCCAGCATCTGGATTTCCCATCACACTCAGCTCCAGTGACTTTTTTCCTATTTCCAAAGAGAAAATCTACTTCCTTCTGAGGATAAGATTGGCCATTTCCAGAGTAATTGGATGAATGACCATCAAGCATTGCAGGCTGTTCCAAAAGTCGAGTTTAAATGTGTTTTTGAGCAATGTTCCACTTTGACAGGGTCACGTGGCCTCCCGAAGTGACCCTGGGGAGGGCTGCCAGGGTGGGAGAGCCGGGCTGGCTGTCGGCAGTCAGCCCTCTGCCTTGACCCGAGAGTCGGACCTTGCCGGGAACACCCCAACATCTAAAGAATTCCATTTTTTTCCCCCTCCGATCGCAGGTCAAGTCACCACCAAATGAATGTGCCAAAAGAGAGTGGGATCCAATTAGAAAATGTTTACCTGTCCCCTTGCAAGGTCCCCGCTTCTGTGGCCCAGCGTTTGCCTGGCTGGTGGACTCTATTTATGGAGTCGCCCTGCCCCAGCCGGGGTCCTAATGATGCTCACCCTTCACCCCACTCCTGCATATTCCAGCCGACAGTCAGGACCTCTGGCAGCGGGACTCCTCCAGCTAATTTAGTGGGCAGTCCCGTTGGTCGCTGGGAGGGCCCAAGCTCTGCACAGCACCCTAACACAACACCCAGTCTCATCAGGCGGGGGTCCAAGCTCCCTTCCTGGTGGGGTACACGGGCGTGGCCATGTCACTGCCCACTCCCAGAGAGACACGTGGTGCCTCCAGGCCCGCCACAAAAGGCCAGCTCAACACCGGGAGCAGATGGAGACTATGCTTTGCTTTGTGCGGAGGAAGATGCTCTTTAGATTGAGGACAAAGGATTCACTAGAAAGAGACTTGCCCTGGTTTTCCATTCAGAAGACATCTCATTGGTGAGTTCCAGGGAAATGGAACCAAATCCCAGGACAGAACACTCTCTGCCTCCCTGGCCTCCACGGCACCTTTCTCTCTGGCTTGTTCTCCACAAAAAACTAGATTTTTTTTTTTTTCCAATTTCATAACAAAACATGTTTTTGAGAACATTTAGAAAGATTCAGGGGAAAAAAGAAAAATTTTTAAACATCTATAATTCTAATTCTACTTCCTGGAGTAATCATGAGTTTTGGTATATTATCCTGATTGTTTTCAGTGAACACATATGCATATATGCATGCTCAGTTGCTTCAGTCGTGTCCGACTCTTTGCGACCCCAAGGACTGTAACCCACCAGGCTCCTCTGTCCATGGGATTCCCCAGTCAAGAACACTGGAGTGGGTCGCTATGCTCTCCTCCAGGGGTCTTCCTGACCCAGGAATAAACCTGCGTCTCCCGTGTCTCCTGCATTGGCAGGCAGATTCTTTATCACTGAGCCAGTGGAGAAGCCCATGAACATATACTAATACATACCTTTGTAAAACAAAAATGTGATCATACTCTACATGTTATTTTACAGCTTGCTTTTTTTATATATTTATCAACATAATATGCACAATTTTCAAGTCCTTAAACTTTTTCTTTCCATCTTTGAAAAAAATACAGAGCCCAGTTACTCTCTTATTCCCCAATGTACCATTGTCACACATTTGGATATGCAACACTGTGAGGAACATCTTCCAGGCTAAAATGTTGCACATGTACATGATTCACTTCTTTAGGGTCAATAAAGAAGGACACATGCAGACAGGATCACTTTAGTTCAAATGACAATCCTTTTTTTCTCAGGTAGAGCAGAAAATGTTTTTCTAAAAATAAGTATGTTTCTTTGGTCAGTGTTCCATAGTTTTCTGAGTACAGGTCTTTTGCCTCCTTAGGCATGTTTACCCCTTGGTATTTTACTCTCTTTGTTTCAATGGTAAATGGGACTGTTTCCTTAAATTCTCTTTCTGATCTTTCATTGTTAGTGTATAGGAATGCAGCGACTCCTGTGCATTAATTTTGTATCCTGCAACGTCAGCAAATTCACTGATAAGCTCGAGTTTTCTGATGGCGTCTTTAGGATTTTCTATGTACAGTATCATGCCAACTGCAAACAGTGACAGTTTTACTTCTCTTCCACTTTGAATTTCTTTTATTTCTTTTTCTTCTCTGATTGCTGCAGCTAGGACTTCCAAATCTATGTTGAATAATAGTGGCAAGAGTGGACAACCTTGTCTTGTTCCTGACCTTAGAGGAAATCCTTTCAGTTTTTCACTGTTGAGAAAAATCTTTACTGTGGGTTTGCCACATGTGGCCTTTATTATGTTGATGCAGGGCTTCACAGGTGGTGCCAGTTTGTCTTGCTCCATCCAGCTCTTATTTAACAACTGCCAATGCAGGAGACACCAGAGACTTGGGTTTAATCTCTGAATCAGGAAGATCGCCTGGAGGAGGAAATGGCAACCCACTCCAGTATTCTTGCCTGGAAAATCCCATCGACAGAGCCTGGCTAGCTATAGTTCATGGGATCACAAAGAGCTGGACGCGACTGAACGCCTGAGCATGCGTGTTGATGCAGGTTCCCTCTATGCCACACCACATGGCTACAGAATGTCACCAGCAAGTTCTATTGATGCTGCTACTCTAAGCCCAGTTGTTCATTTATCGATGAAGCGTGCTCTTTAGGTGGCTTTTCTCTCACATCTCTGAGAGCTAGGAATATGAAAACAAATCCATTTCTAGAATCAACTCCTGTAGCAAATCTGTACATCAATCCATTTATGGGATTGATTTTGTTCTTGAACCACCTCACCTGTTCTTCGATGAAAAAGACTCCTGGGGCAATAAGCTGCTTGCCCCTCGGCTTGCCTGATGGCAGACTCTTATTTCCCAGCATGTGTGGTTCCAACGGGCTGTTCCCTCCACCTACTTAATGCTCAGCCCAGAGTCTGTCTTTGTAGGTGTCCCTGTTGGCTGGGGTGCCTGGCTGCACACAGGGGCACCTCATTCTTCAGTACCCCATGGAGCCCTATGACATACACCCCACCCTTACACTCTGCAGCAAGGTCTGGCGGGGTCACCACCACCCCTCCCCCACGCCCACCAGCATCTCCATCAAACCGCCCTGAGAACCTCCTGGAAGCCAGTCCCAGGTCCAGGCATGGCCCAGTGCGTACACACGTGATCACCCGGATTCTGGAAGCAGAGCCAAAAGTCCAGAACTCGCCCACCCAGCACGCCTGAAATCTCCTACAAGTTGGCCCCTCTTGTTAAGACATGAAAGGCTCTAACTAATACAAAAAGGAAGAAAAAGTGATCTGGGAGAGGAAACACGCCAACACGCACCAGGCATTAATGCCTAATCACCAATTAGCGCGCAAGCCTTCGGTGCCGACGTGTGGCGGAGCGGCTGGAGCCGGGCGAGCGGGTAGAGGATGAGCCGGAAGGAAGACGGCCGGAGATGAAAGGTGAAGGCGGCAGGATCGGAACCCCTACCCTGCTCCATGTTTGCCCAAGGCCCACCCCGTTCCTCCAAACACACTGGCCGCCTTTGCAAACCACTTGCACGCTGAACGTTTCCGACATCAAAATATTCATAACGAGGCACCTTCGCAAGGTTCTCCTGAGAGAGCTGCCTTTGGTTAAGGAATTCCGAGCCTGGGAAAGCAGTGGGAGACCCTGCAGTGAGTGGGCTTGTTAAGATCAGTTGGCAGGGTCCCAGCAGGCTTCTCAACAGTCGATGAGAATTACTAAACATCATTGCAAAGAGTGCAGAGTAATTCCAGGAGCCGAAAAGAAAAGAACAGGTAGTTAATTGGCACTGGGCAATTAAGGATGGGGCCTGGGAATGTCACGTGGAGAATCGTTGACCAGAAAGGCTCGGCAGAAATCTGAGAGATACATCCTGGCTGCAATTATCGTTTCAGCCAGGTCTCGGGGGCCCCTGGACAACCTCGGTGATCACAGTGACAGCATGGCTCCCGTCTGCGGCTCTTTGATGGCTCAGCTCTGTGGGCACAGACAGGGGCCTTCAGAGACCAAATCAAATGCATTTGGGAGAGGACAGCGTGGGAACCGGGGCTTGAGGAGGACAGCCAGAACTGGACTCCGCATGCTTTCCGGGGTGGAGTGAGATGCGCCTGGAAGCCAGGGCGTGGTCTGGGAGCATAGCTACCACTGGGCAGGGCAGCAAATGGGGAGGAAGGGTGGCAACCTCTAATCTCCTCCTGCTCTTGAACCTCTCAGCCTGCCTGCCTGGAGACGACAGTCCAGCAGAGTGGAGGTGTCACGGTTATGAGAGAAGAACCAGGATCAAACTCCTAAGTCCTCTCTGAAGACATCTGCCCCTGCCTCAGAGGACCTCAGCGTCTAGAGAGCTCCTTGGCGCGGTAGCGGGGTGGTCATTCTGGACACCATTTCGCAAGGTCTGGCTGCATCCCTGCTGTGCCTACCAAGGGGCGGGCTCGGCCCAGCAATCCATGAGCCCCTTTGAAGGCACAGGCCTCCTCCTTCATGGCTCAGGGCACAGGGCCGCGAGAGTATGTCTGATTGGGACCTAAGCGATCTTTGTCACCCCCTAGCGACCCCTGGAGTTGTGCACACTGCAGACGACCTCTGCCTTACCAGCCTCCCTCCTTGAGTCGACATGAAGGAGCCTTTTGTTCTGATGGACCAAAGAAAACCCTCACATCACTGCTGGAGGGGGAGGGGGTAGTTCACTGTTGAAAATGCATTAGAGCCCCAAAGGAGGGTGTCCTTGGGGGTCTGCAGTTGACCCCAAAAGGATTCATTTTCATTTCTAAGGAGCGCGTATGATACGAAAGGGCTGCCTAAGGAGAGGCTGCCGTATTCACTTGTGCTCCCTGAAACAGCTAGGGAATGCGGTTGCCATTGTGTTCCTCAGACTCGCTGATAGAAAAGAACCACCTGGAAAAAATAGCGACCCCAAGACCCTTGCACTGCCTCTTGGCCGCTGCCCCGCTATAGGGCCCAACACCTACATGTCATTGATTTCTTCCCAAACACCAAGCCGGGCAGACTTCAGTGAGCTCTGGGATGCCAGCATGATTTGCTTTGCTGTTTTCAACAAGGTGACCCCCCCCCGCCTCATGAGGCACAGGCAGTCCTGGGCCCAAGTAGCCACAGCTGTCCTTGCCCAATGACTTCCAAGGCTGCAGGCCACTTTCTGCTTCTCGCCGATGCTCAGCTGGCCCCCAGGCCACGGCTTAACAAGCCCCAGTACAAGTGGATGGGAGGGAATTTTCTCTTCCCTCTGCAAAGAATGTGAAACTGATTGAAACAATCCTGAGAACTCAGTTACCCTCACCCCACATCCAGCATCACGAAGGAGCAAATTCCACATAGAAAATTGTAGTCAGACCCGTTAGCTGTGCTGTGCTCAGTCATGTCTGGCTCTGTGGCCCCACGGGCTGTAGCCCGCCAGGCTTCTCTGGCCATGCGATTTCCCAGGCAAGAATACTGGAGGGGACCACCGTTTCCTTCTCCAAAGGATCTTCCTGACCCAGGGATTGAACGTGTGTCTCTTCTGTCTTCTGCATTGGCAGGCAGGTTCTTTACCACTAGTGCTACCTGGGAAGCCCTGAGTTCCACCCAGAGAATAATACCATTTCCATGGATCACCACCCAGTTCTAAGTTCATCTTAATCCTCACACTTACAGCTCTAAGTCCCTGAAATTGCAGTCAACCAAAGAGGAACCTACTGTAGGCTCTCAGTATTTATCATTGTTATTATATATGAAGAGAAGCTGAAATTACTGTCTAAAATAACTTTCTCCAGGAGGAAAACTTAGTATTATGTCTTTTAGAATTTAGGGTTAGGGTAGAATTACAGATGAGGTTAGAGTTATGTGTAACCTATAAAAAGAGGGCTTTCTTTAAATCCCTAATCTGGGATGAACTGACAAATGAAAGTTTTCTGGAGGTAAGGATTGTATTCTTTACCCTAAGGGGAAGAAGGGGAAGCAGCCTTGATGCTGGCAGAGCTGAAACACGGGGACTGTGCTCTCTCCCCTTTATTCAGCCATCTGTCCTGCGTGCCAGTAATGTCCCAGGCACTGAGAATGCAGATGCGAGCAGAAGGACAGACTTCGGCTCTCATGGGACTTACAGTCTCCTTGGGGACACAGAAAACAAGCCGATAAATAAGAATGATACTTAAATCTGATGGCAAAGCGTATGGGGAGAAACAGCAGTAAAGAGAGGATTTACCTGAGGTGAGGGAACAAGTTGTATTTTGTTTTTTAAATTTATTTATTTTATTGTTTATTTGTGGCTGCCTTGGGTGTTCATTGATGCATTTGGGCTTTCTCTACTAACAGTATTCAGGCTTCTCATTTCAGCAATCCTAAAGGAAATCAACCCTGAATATTCATCAGAAGGACTGGTGATGAAGCTCAAGCCCCAATCCTTTGGTCACCTGATGCAAAGACCTGACTCATTGGAAAAGACCCTGATGCTGGGAAAATTCGAGGGCAGGAGGAGAAGGGGACGACAGAGGATGAGATGGTTGGAGGGCATCACCAATTCATTGGACATGAGTTTGAGTAAACTCCAGGAGATGGTGAAGGACAGGGGAGCCTGGCGTGCTGCAGTCCATGGGGTCGCAAAGAGCTGGACACAACTGAGTGATTCAACAACAGCAGAGCACCAGCTCTAGGGCATTAGGGCTTCAGCAGCTGCGACACGCAGGCTTAGCTGCTCCAACGCATGTGGAATCTTCCCAGACCAGGGATCAAACCCATGTCCCCTGCATCGGCAGGTGAATTCTTACCCACTGGACCATCGGAGAAGTTCAAGAGAGCACAGATTTAATGCAGCGATCAGTGGGGGAAAGGTTCTGAATCTCTCAGCTCCTTGATTCCCGGTTTGAGACTTCTGTCAGGTTGGTCTCCGTGTGTTGAGACCGTGGGCACGGGATGGAGGAGTAGGGGCCGTGGGTGTCATAGGCACCTAGCTCAGGAGGGACCTGCAGTAGAACAATGCCCGTGGCATTTCTGACCTACAGAACAGTCCGGAATGCGCCTCAGCGTTTGGAACATCCCACTCTCTTTGGACTTCCCTGGTGGCTCAGATGGTAAAGCGTCTGCCTACGATGTGGGAGACCTGGGTTCAATGCCTGGGTCAGGAAGATCCCCTGGAGAAGGAAATGGCAACCCACTCCAGTACTCTTGCCTGGAAAGTCCCATGGACGGAGGATCCTGGTAGGCTACAGTCCATGGGGTCGCAAAGAGTCGGACACGACTGAGCGACTTCACTTTCGCTTTTTCACTCTCTTTGCCCCATCCCATCCAACCCACAGCCCCAGCTCCCTGGAAATCAAGGAGCCATAAGATGCCCATGATATAATTTCAGAACTGTAGGTTCGTGTATTGAAGGGGTCAGCCAGTTACGGGGCAAGTAGTCAGCTATTCGTTCTAGAAATGTACACTCAACACCACAGCTGGTATGGGACAGCAAGTCTGAATCACCATCCAGACTCTGTCGGAGGAACCGGGGGACACAGACTAAATCCCAAGGCGATGGTCAGTGAACACAGGAGAGCACAGTCGGCCAAGCGGAGCTTACATTCTCTCGGTTTCAGGAGTCCCTGGAAAGTCTCACACAGAGGTGATATTGGGCCTGGGTTTTAAAGAATGCATATGAGGTTTTCTGGGCTAAGAAGAGATGGAAACACATTCCAGAAGGGGAGAATGGCAGGTGCAAAGTCACCGAGGTGGAACAAGCTCAGGATGTCTAAGGGTGGCCAGGTCAGTCGGTGCGGCCTGAACGTGGGGCTGCGGGCAGGAGGCACAGGGGAGAGTCTGAGGAGATGCTGGGACTGGACCATGCCTGTGACCTTCTGAAGCGCCACACGGGGCTGCTGGGACCAGCCCTGCTTCCCACAGACACCCTCGCGGGGACACGGCAGGGGGCCACGCAACGTCCAGAGGCAAGACGAGGTCTGAAGTGAGGCAGGGCAGCGGTGTGTGAGGGGGCAGGATGGGGCAGGAAGGATAAATCTGAGACAGTGGTCTTCTGGAGGGCAGAGGCCCATTAGTCTTCTACTGCTCCAATACCACATCCCCGTAAAACTGGCAACTTAAAAATGTGCATCTTCATTATCTCACCATCTAGACCTGGCTTCACTGGCTCTCTGCTTGGGTCTCAGCAGATGGCAGGCAAGGCATCCATGAGACCAGGGTTCTCATCACACAGTTTGACTGGGGAGGGATCTGTTCTGTTACTCACGGGATTGTTGGCATGAATTCAGCAGCTGCGGCTGCAAAGCCGAGAGCCTCCGATTGGAGGAGGCTGTCCTCGGGTTGTGGAAACACCCACGGTCCTGGCCGTGTGAGGACCCTCTGTGTGGCCACCTGCATCAGTGTGCTTCTACCGGCTTCCACCACCTCAGTATGACCATAGTGTGAGAGAAACTCTGGCCAGACCGATGCTATAATCCTAGGCCAGGGAACCACGGAAGCACATACCTCGCGTTGCCTTGGCTAGAGTCTAGGGTCAGAAGCAAGCCAGAACCCCGCCACACACGGCAGTGGCTGGGGACCGGGGATCAAAGGCCCCTGTTAGAGTCTGCCCACTCAGGGCGGGCCCCCGTGTTCACTAACAGCGTGGGGCGGGGAGCGGGGAGTTCCCACTCAGGTGCTGAGCATCACCAAATCGGAGCACAGCTCTTGTTCTCTTTGGTGAGATGGAGACCAGAGAGACACGGCCACAGAGGACCCACCGACGCCAGAAGGACGGAGGGGCTGACAGGTGAGCGGGGCTCAGCCAGCGTGGGCAGGCGGAGGCCTGCTGAGCCCCAGATACTGTCCAACCACAAATTGTTTCCTGCCAGGACCCCGGAGGGAGGGTAATCAGTACGGCTGCCGGAAGCGACTACACGTGGCATGATTCCACGGATGTGAAGTGTCCAGAAAAGGCAAATCTCTGGAGACAGAAAGTAGATGGGTGTCTCCCTGGGGATGGGGAGTGGCTTCCACAGGGCCTTAAGGGATCTTTTGGGGTGGATGGAAGAGTCCTAAATCTGGATTGTGGTGATGGTTGCACAACTCTATAAATTTACTAAAAATCACTGATCTGTAGACCAAAAACATGTTCACTTTATGGTGTATAATCTGTAGCTTGATACCACTGTTTAAATAACACAGATGCTAATAAACACCGTAAGTAGTCGGTGCAGCAGTGCAAGCAGGTGGATGACGCCCTGTCCACAGTGACACAGGCCTCTGCCTCCCAGGAGACTCTGAGACAATGGGGCTGGTGCATCTCAAAGGGAGTGAGGTGGGGGGAACCTCTCAGGCCTCCACTTTCAGGACGAGACGCACTGAGTAATTGTCCCCTGGGGCAGCTGTATCCCCTTCACCCACCCAACAACCAGGTCCCGAGAACCAGCAGCCATCCTCACGGTCCCTGCCCCGGAGCCAAACACAGAGTCCTTCATGTGGACACCGCTGCCCAGAGGAGACGTGGCCACAGGACCTGCAGGAGCACCAGCCCTGGCCTGGACCACCCCAATCGACGGGCAAGTTTGTCTTCTTCTTGGTGCTGTCTGAGCTCATCAACATGCGGTGTTAAAACTGTGGTCACTCAACCTCAAACACATAACATTTGAGCCCAGCTTGTCCCCAAACTCATTGATTCATTGGAAAAGATCCTGATGCTGGGAGGGATCGGGGGCGAGAGGAGAAGGGGATGACAGGGGATGAGATGGCTGGATGGCATCACCGACTCAACGGACATGAGTTTGGGTAAACTCCAGGAGTTAGTGATGGACAGGGAGGCCTGGCGTGCTACGATTCATGGGGTCGCAAAGAGTCAAACATGACTGAGCGACTGAACTCAACTGTCCCCAAACCCCAAACACACAATGAGTCCAGTCTGTCCCCAAAGTAAATTACCAAGAGCTGAGGCCACATATACCCACTCCTCACTCCCTCCTCACTGCCCCCCATCTCATAATGAGCCTTTTGCCCTCCACAGACCAGCATCCCACCTCCACCGACCAGCATCCCACCTCCACCGACCAGCATCCCATCTCCACCGACGAGCATCCCATCTCCACAGGCCAGGATCCCATCTCCACAGACCAGCATCCCATCTCCACGGACCAGCATCCCGTCTCCATGGACCAGCATCCCGTCTCTATGGATCAGCATCCCTTCTCCATGCTCAAGTTAACCAAGAGAATCAGGTAGCCATCGAAATCAGAAAGTTGACCTTCCTCCCAACACAGGGAAAGGGTGGTGACCAGAGGGAAGCTATTGAAGGGACTCAGCCAGCGTACATCATGGGTGAGTCATGATAACAGCTCTATCTAATACTTGTGCAGCCTTTTAAAAAAAAAACATGCCTTTGGCTGCAGCAGGTCAACTGTGGCATGTGGAATCTTTAGTTGCAGCATGCAAACACTTAGTAGTTGCATGTGGGATCTCATTCTCTGAGTAGTGATCAAACCCAAGCCCTGTGTTTTGGGAGGGGGGTGGGCAGAGTCTCAGCTGTTGGACCACCAGGAAAGTCCCTCATGCGGCCTTAATAAGGGTCAGCACCACTCAGAGTCCTTTGCATATACTGGGTTGGGAAAAAGTTCATTTGGATTTTCTGTACCATCTCACAGAAAAATCAGAACTTTTTGACCAACCCAATATTTACAGTGTCCATTACCACATTTGTTCCTCCTCACAAGCTGGATGGGCCCCCCCATCCCCTGTTTTACTGAGGAGAAAAATCCAGGCTCAGAGCCCCACCTCTCCTGACATAGGCCTACGAAGTAACCTCCAGCCCATGTCGCCTAGGACCCTGCCCGTGCATATTCAGGGCACATCTCTACAACCTGCACATACACGGGAAACTCCCCCCCAACAGGACTGGGAGACACCTCCAGGTCCTCCCAAAGGGCCAGAAAAGTCACCGCAACCCACACAGGAAGCTTCACACCCTTCAACCTAGTAAATATCTTTAATGCACTCAACTCACCTGTTTCTAGGATTAGAAACAGGTCAAAGCAAGTTGGGGAAACAGTGAGAGACTTTATTTGGGGGGGGCTCCAAAATCACTGCAGATGGTGACTGCAGCCATGAAATTAAAAGACGCTTGCCCCGTGCTCGCTTCGGCAGCACATATATTAAAAGACGCCTGCTCCTTGGAGGAAAAGTCATGACCGACCTAGACAGCTTATTAAAAAGCAGAGACGTTCCTTTGCCAACAAAGGGCTGTCTAGTCAAGGCTATGTTCTTTCCAATAGTCATGTATGGATGTCAGAGTTGGACTATAAAGAAAGCTGAGTGCTGAAGAATTGATGCTTTTGAACTGTGTGGTGTCAGAGAAGACTCTTGAGAGTCCCTTGGACTGCAAGGAGATCCCACCAGTTCATCCTAAAGGAAATCAGTCTTGAATATTCATTGGAAGGACTGATGTTGAAGCTGAAACTCCAATACTTTGGCCACCTGATGCGAAGAACTGACTCATTAGAAAAGACCCTGATGCTGGGAAAGATTGAAGGCAGGAGGAGAAGGGGACGACAGAGGATGAGAAGGTTGAATGACATCACCTATGTGATGGACATGAGTTAGAGTAAACTCCGGGAGTTGGCAATGGACAGGGAAGCCTGGTGTGCTGCAATCCATGGGGTCACAAAGAGTTGGACACGACTGAGTGACTGAACTGAACTGAACTTAACTGGAAGAAAAGCAGACTCAAGACTGCACTACAGCTGCACACTCCTGCGAAGATGTGAGGTGCGGCCAGGCCTTAGCAATCTTGGTTGCAGAGGACAGCAGTCTGGGACTGAGGGGAGGAGGAGAGGGACTCACTCCCCAACCTGGAAGGAGGTTGGCGTGGCTCGTCCGAGGCCCTAAGTAGCGAGATGAGACTGATGCAGCCTCCGGAAGCCGCGTGACCTGCCCAAGGTGAGTCTGGAGTCACAGGAGGCCGCAGAGGGCGCCATGCCCGTGTCTGCCTGCCGCTGTCTGTCTGATTAACTCGTAGCTGAAGGCGGAGCTGTTGCTCAGACACCTGACAAAAGTCGTTTCCAGCTAAGGGTTTCTATTTAGCCCTTACACATGGCCTGTGTATTTTCTCTCCCGGAATTTGATATCTTGGGAAACCTGCCAAGGACTGTTCACCAGGGAGAGCGAGTAAGCGAAACAGGAAGGAAAATTAGAGGCGGAAGGTGCTGGTACTCACAGCAGACTCGAGCTGGGGACCTGACCTCTCAATGTCCCTGGGTATCCAGCCCAGGGCGGCGCCCCGCAGTATTCGTGCAGCCCGAGCAGCCCGCAGACCCTGAGCAGGCGTCCCCCCGGCTTCGCGGGGGCGGGGGGCTCCCCCCTGCACCACAGATGCCCCTGTGACGCTTCTTCAAGTGTGGCCATGCCACCCGCTGACCGAACCCTGGACTCCTCCTCATGTGGTTTCAGAAGCGAGTTTTCCAAACTCCTCAGTCAGTAAGCCTATGTCCGGAGTGATATTGACGGCAATTATCATTGTCAAGGCTCTTTCATTTTTTTTCGGAAGGATGGCTTTGTCTATTACACCGTGATGGATCAGGATGAGGTCTGGGGACGACCGGACCCACGTAAAATAACAGTACGACGTGAGGTGAGGCGTTGCCCGAGGTCTCAGGCCCAGGGGTTACAGCATGCCTTTCTTTCTTTCTCAAGTATTTCTTTGTCCATTCCATGCATCCTCTGGGGACCTCGTGAGGACCGGACACTGAGAGGTGGTACCTGCTGGAGGTGCAGAGTCCCACACTGGTCCCCGGGGACTCAGATTCAGGGAATGGTGTCTGATGCTCGGCAGGCCTGACGCACTCTGGGCATCCACACGCCCTCCCAGGAGGAGCCCTGTCCCTGCAGGTGGGGCTGCCGGGAAGACAGCACAGGACGGGGGAGGAGCAGGAGGGAGCGAGGGACCCCACTGACGGAAAGGGAAGATTCTGCCAAACAGAAGAGGACAGGGGCTCCAAGACGAGGGGAGCCCCCACGAGAAAGGAGGGGCGGTGGTGGCCCAAGTGAGGGGGGGACGCATCTGAATCCACAGAAACCCGCTCCGGCCCCGTGGACCAGACCAGGAGGAAGAGCTGTGCTCAGCTGGAGTTTGCAGGTGACAAGAAACAGCCGCCTCCAGGACCCGAGGAGTCAGCCATGTGTCCTGGCTTAGCATCTGCCGGCCCAAAGGGGAGGAGGGCCAGGGAGGTCCTGCCCGGCTCAGAGGAAGAACTGGGCGGCCCTGCCAACAGGGACCTGTCCACGCGCCAACGCGTTCCTCCCCCACTTTCCTGTCCGGCCCTCCATGCCTCACTTTCTTGAGTGAACATTCCCATCAGAAAATAGAACCATCATCTCCACTATGGAGTTTATTTAGCGTAGTCCGGCCCCAGCTGAAAACCCAAGGAGACCGTTGTTCATATGAGCCTCAGCTCATATCCAGAGTGTGGGTGAGATCACAGCCCTGGTCCTCCCCGACTTCCGTGGATTAATGTATTCCACATACAATCTTCTCCCGGTCAGGAGGGAATCCAGTTTCATGGAGGTCCTTTTAGCGGAGGATTCATCAAACCAGAGTATATGCATATGGTGTGAACCTCAGATCCATCATCTAAGCTGTTGGTTTTAGTCGAAATGTCAAGAAATGATTTAGTATAAAATCCGCCACCAAAGCATTTATTAAAAAATCTTTTGCTGCTCTTCATCTACAAACATTTACTACCCTGCATACAAATGTCAGCGGTTCAGCCTAATATACTTCTTCATTTATTTACTGTTCATTTCTGCTGGATAGAAGCCAGAACCACGACTTCACCCAGCGACTGCGGCACTTCGCAGGGCTGGAGAGTGCATCTCGCCACCCCTGATGTCAACTAATCCATCTTACTGGGACGCTGTTGGGTATGAAGATCGCACCTTCTTTTGGGGGAGTAGAGTCCTCCTCACACAGAGGTTTTATTTAAAGATGGAAGTTTATCAATGTATTACCAGGACTTTCTGGAAGAAGTAAATAAATGAAATGCAGATTTGACAGCTAAATGTTGACCGTAGGAGGTCGACCGTGCTTTCCTGCACATACAGAAAGTGTAAAGGAAAATGAACCCACCGATTCCCTGTCTCACGGTTCACAGACCTGGACGGTCTCCTGTGATCGCATTTTGTGTTAAGTGAATTCTCCAAGTCTTGCACATTCCCACGGAACCGACAGAATCCTGCCATCGGGAACGAGGCCCTCCCTTGAAGAGCAGAAAGCAGGGATCCTGCCAGAGGCCTGACTGGCCTGTCGAGGTCACACAGCTGGTTGGTGACAGCAGCAGCCCTAGAACCTTGGATTCATGGTTTTCGATTAAACCTGTGTCATCTGGCTGGGCTGCAGGGGAGGGAGAGGGGATTCCAACAGCCAAGAGTACAGCCAAAATAAGCAAACAAATATAGGCAGCTGAAACTCAGGGGGAGCTTGGATTTCAGAGCCTCAACTGTAAGCAGCGAAAACCACATTTCACCTCCAAGTAACCCTCATCTGCTTTCTATCTTCCAAAGCTGCGCTGTTCACGTCATCCTTGCAACGGGTTATCGATGCCTTTATGACAGGACCCGTGTATTCTAAATTGGCAAGGCAAGCATCCAGCTGTTAAAAAACACTCCGAAGAAGAATGGGTTGCTAGCAAGGAAGGCCAGGAGAGATGTCCAGATGCATTGGCCACGGGGACACCGGCTTCGGTATAAATGCACCCCGAGGACCAGCTTCGAAATCCAATGATAAACACACACACACTTGTGCTCCTTGCATCTGGGGGTGCCTCCGGCTCATCGCTGGAGCAGACTGGACCGGCCCTCACTCCCCACAGGTCCCGCGCCAGCAGCGATGTGCTCAGGCCAGAGTTTGGCCTGCTTCCCACTTGATCTGCAGATCAACCAGGGGAGCAGAGGGAAGCCACAGGTCAGCGGGCCCAGGCCCCAGAGAGCTTCCTTAATACCTCCTGGGGTGAGCCGGGCTGGGGGCTGGGCGCTGGGTTCGAGGCAGTCAGCATGTGCCTGTGTCTTGGTGGGCACAAGCCCGGAACCCCCTTCTCCCCACGTCAGCCCTGCATTTCTATTCAGTTCCCTTTTCCTGAATTCCTCTTTTCCTCTCTCTCTCTGACTGGCCTATGTGACGAAAGAGCAACTCTGGGCATTTTACTGAACTAATTCACTCAATCCCCCACTCCCTTGGACTCGAGGAAGCAGATATGCCTGTTCAGATGGGCGTGTTCTTCTTTTCCAGCCCTTCCCCAGGTCGAATGGTTCTGGAAACCCTGAGCTGTATGCCTCCACCACAGACCCACAAGCCAGAGAGGCGAGGCTCTGTCCACTGTGTTCACCGTTCTATCCCAGGGCCCAGGACAATCAAAACGTGCAAGCACAGAAGGAAACGAAGTCCCATTTCACAGATGGAAAGCCGAGGCTCTGAGAAGCTGTGGATCCCAGGTCAGCCCAGGCAGGAGATGGCAGTCAGGACCGGTGAGGTCGGGAGCCGTGACCTTCATCTCTGTCTGCTCCTTGGCAGGACCTGGGGGTCCCCAGGCTGAGTCTTTGTCCTCCCAGATGCCACAGTCAAGGGGCAAGCCCCAGGCATTCCTCTATATCAGTGCAGGTCATTTCAAGAGCGTCCAGCTCTGCTCACGAACTTGGTGCCTGCCTCTCCCGGCTTATCCTGGACAGGGAGCTGTCTGGGCTTTGGTGCCACCCCAGCCCTACCCCTTGGGGCAGGCGTGATCTCAAGCTGCTCCCAGCCCATCTCCGAGGGGCTTGGGTGCCTGAGCACCCTCTGGAGTTGCCCGACTCACGTGAGCTATTTCTAGTGTGAAATACATTTGTAGCCCTTAAAGAGAGCAAGCTCAATTATTTAACTCTGCCTAGATTTAGTTCAAATATAAGAGTTCCAGTGTCCATCTGAGACTTCTGGGAAATTGATTTTTCTGCTTAAGATCATTTCATAGGGTTTAGCATTTAAACCAAATCGGGCGCAAACTGATCTCCTAGTAGATACTGAGCTTGTTTTCTTTGTTCTAAAGACCAGCCCGAGAGAGTCCTGCTCCCACCCCGACGCTCGTCATATGCACTTTATGAGTCTAAGAGACCACGGCCAGCCCACCGAAAGTCATCTCTAAGGCAGCCAACTCTGTCTTCTCTCAAGGAGGGGTTTTCGGAGCTGCGGTGCCAAGGGAGGGCCCAAGAGGCGGCAACAGCATTTAGCACTCAGCTGACCTCCCATCCACCCTTCCAGGATGCCTGCTGGAGCCAAGTGTATTTGGGCTGGTTTTTTTTTTTCCTATTTCTCAGCCATTTTCAAGTGATTTCTTTAATTTCCTCCTGAGAGTAAAGCACTGATTGACCAGGGATTTCAAACTGAAACCTCTCATCAGCAAATACCACTGACAGCTTAGGATGGAAAAACATCCCTGAAGCTGATGTTGAAGTCCACAATTAAATTAGCCATTGGTAGTCAGGTGGTCTAATATTTAATGTAAACTGCTTTCCAGGTCCTTTGGAGGAGAAAGAAACTGTGTGATCTGATCCTGTGAGGACAAATGTTCTCAAATAACTTCCCGAGGATGACGCCTTTACCAATAGAAACGATGACATTTTACATGAAGAGAATCTGTAAGTCTGTTTTTAAAAAAGCAAGGGCACACAACATTGTAAGTCAACTGTATTTTAATTTAAAACAGAAAACAAGAACAGCAAGAGGGTGTGGAAGGGTCAACACACCCAGTCATGGAGTCCCCAGTCCCATTTTCCTGCAAATCATCCCTGGATGAGTTTAAATAGGGCAAAAAAGTACAGACGTTAAGGCCATACTAAAAAGTTATAGTTATTCTAATTAAAGAAGAAACAACAGACTGGGGTGAATGGTTGGGAAATGGCTTTGTAGACAGAATTCAAGCAGAATCATTCCAGAGTCAGGGCCAGAGTGAGCTGGGTGCTTCTCGAGCCAGAGGTGGCTCCGTGTGTGAACAAGGTGAGTGCTGACCCTCTCCTGGTGGGAAGTGAAGACTCAAGGTCAGGCTGGAATCTAGCACACACGGGCCTAAGCCCTCCCACACACAAGCGCCCCGTACATGACAGTTACTATTACCTAACGTTGTTATTGTTAGCACGTGTAAAGCGTGCAGTACTGTGACTGGCATATTTTTTTTCTTTTTGGCTGTGCAACATGACATAGATGATCTTAGTTCCCCTATCAGGGATCGAACCCACACCCCTTGTACTGGAAACACACAGTCTTAACCACTGGGCCACCAGGCAAGCCCCATGGCTCGTGTGTTTAAAGGAAAAAAAAGCCACAAGGTTGGCTCCCTGCGCCCCCAGCTGCCCGTCTCCTCTTGCAGGTGAGATGGAATATGAACACCTCAACTTGCCTGTGAGAGCCTCCGGTGACCCAGCGACCAGCGAGAGCTTTCACCTTATGGGTGGCT